CCTGCTCTCCCTCACGCTCCGAAACACTATAGGTCTACTTTGGAGTGCCCTTTCCCAGCCGGTCTGCTTGCTGCCTTCTAATCTAGCAACCTCAGCAGTTCTTCCCAACGCCCTTGGGAAGCAGCGCTGTGCGGTAGAAAGCTTGGTATTGGAGTTGCTGCGGCACTGGGTTCTGCCCTAGCTGGTGACTACGATTCCTCATTGTGAAATGGGCATACCACCCTCTTTGGATGGTTGCTGCTGCAGGTCCTGGAAAAATGTTTCTTTCAACATTGTTTAGTTCAACATTTCTTTATAACCTTGATACGATTCCTTAGCAACTTAACTATTTTAAAATATATTTAAAATTTTATTTTTAAATATATTTTTATTGATTTCAGAGTGGAAGGGAGAGGGAGAGAGAGATAGAAACGTCAGTGATGACAGAGAATCATTGATGAGCTGCCTCCTGCATGCCCCCTACTGGGGATTCAGCCTGCAACCCAGGCATGTGCTCTGACCAAGAATAGAACTGTGACGTCCTAGTTCACAGGTCCACACTCAACCACTGAGCCACACCGGCCGGGCTGCAACTTAACTCTTGTGTCAATTAGTCTCATAAACTTGATTTCCTTATATGTCATTTTGTTTCAAGTTGCAGAACCTATCAAGAGCATCCAGTGAGGAATTACTGTGTATGCAAGTGGCTGGCATAGAGCCTGGCCCATGAGAGGCATTCAACTTAATCATAATTACTACACAATGCAGTGACTCGTCTGGGGTGACTGGCTCCCAGGGGATATTTGGCAATGACATTTTTGGATGTTGCAAGAGGGTGTGTGTGTGTGGGGGGGGAGGTTACTGCCTTCTAGTAGGTAGAGGCCAAGGATGAGGCTAAACATCCTACAAGGCATATAGCACAGCCCCCCCACCCCCCAACAGAGTTATTAGCCTCAAATATGAGTGTGCCAAGGTCCAGAACTCCGACCGGAAGCATCCAGAATAAGGCCTGGAACATGGTACGAATGTGGTTCTGTTCGCCTTGCCTTCCCAACTCCTGGGCCGCTAGAAGCTGTTCCATTCAGGCCTCTGTGGTGGGTCACAAACATTATTTTGCTATTGTCTCCCTTTTCATATTTTAATTATGTAAAGTTTCAGTTGTTTTATTTAGATAATTGTAGACTCACATGCATCCCTGTCTTTTTTATATCTCCAGCTCTCAGCACTGTGCCAGCTTTCCCAAGTTTGTTAAATCCAGGAAAGTTGTGCTGGATCTGTGGCCACACTTCCTATAATTATTGCTTTGCCTGGCCTTTGTCTCCACTTAGGTTGGGGGCAAAGGAGTCCCAGGCAGCTTGGGTAGTTTCCCAACATCCCTTGGGTCCCTGGGCCTTCCTCTTTTGATTGTCTCATGCCTCCAAGGTTGCCCATGACTCTCCAGCCCAGTATCTTAGCAAGATCAGCCAGTGGCCCAGATTCTGCTGATCTGATCTCAGACTCAGGACCTCAGTCCTTCCCTTCACGCACAGGTGGACAGACACTCTAGTGCAGCAGTTCTCAACCTGTGGGTCGCGACCCCTTTGGTGGTCGAACGACCCTTTCACAGGGGTCGCCTAAGACCATCCTGCATATCAGATATTTACATTACGATTCATAACAGTAGCAACATGACAGTTATGAAGTAGCAACGAGAATAATTTTTTATTTATTTTTTGTAAATATATTTTTATTGATTTTTTACAGAGAGGAAGGGAGAGGGACAGAGAGTTAGAAACATCGATGAGAGAGAAACATCGATCAGCTGCCTCCTGCACACCCCCTACTGGGGATGTGTCCGAAACCAAGGTACATGCCCTTGACCGGAATCGAACCCGGGACCCTTCAGTCCGCAGGCGGACGCTCTATCCACCGAGCCAAACCGGTCAGGCGCAACGAAAATAATTTTATGGTTGAGTCACAACATGAGAAACTGTATTTAAAGGGCCAGAAGGTTGAGAACCACTGCTCAAGTGCAAGCGTAGTATGAAACTATTCCCAATGCCGATGCCATTCTGAATATGGTTGGAGGAAACTCAGTGGGGTCGCAGTCTCCTTAGGCGGCGTTACCATGGCAACCCCACTCACATCCACTTGGCTCTCCCAGCTCTAGTCTCTGAGGATCTTTTCTAAAGGCAGCAGCACCTTCCCCGAGAGGGAGGGAGAGTGAGGATGTTACATCCATGCTCGCTCCCCTGCAGAAAGCTCCATTCTAGAATCGCTCGTGCAAACTGCCCCTTCTTGGATAAACAAAGGAATTAGTTTACTGTCTGCCTCATGATGTGTGAGTGAAAAAGTTCAACCACCAGCTCTGCAAAGCGCTTTCACAAACATCTCAACCTACAGTAACTGTGAGGTGGGTATTATTACCCATTTTGTAGATGGGGGATATGTGGTTAGGTAATTCGCCCAAAAGCAGTGTTAGAACTTGAACCCAGGTTGGTCTGACTCCAAATACCATCTTTTCGTCAATAAGCCCCCTTGCTTCTCAATTGAGAATTGCCCGTGTGCGTGTAACCGGTCAAGGAAGTCGGCGATGTAGGTGAGGGTTTGTATTTGGCTTATAGGACGGGGTCGGGGAAGAAACGAGATAGGGTGCCCGGATGAGCAGAGCGCGGCGGTCTGGAACTTGCACGTGGGTTTGAAGACCCTTCTGGCCGCGAAGAGTACCGACCCGGGAGCCTTATCCAATCTTTTGGGAAAGGTAAGTGGCAGGTGATGCTGGAGAGGGAAGCTGAGCTCCACTAAGAGGGCGAGAAAACGGAGCCAGTCTGAAGCTTTGCTGCAGTCGCATAAATGCAAGCGCTCGGAAGCTCAGGAGCAGGCGAGACCAAGGGCCTGGGGACGCTTTCCTTGAAAGCATGGCTATTAGAAAGTGCACCAAGTCGTATACCCCGGCTCCGCAACCGCCCAAGAGCTGTTGCTTTAAGAAGCGCGAGTCTGTAACGTCACGTGGCCCCGGCGCCTGGGGCTTTCACGGCCCCTCCCCAGTGACCAATCGCGTGGCTGGAAGCTTCCTGGAGGGCGGGAACTTCGCCAGGTGCTCGCGGATTGGCTGTGCTCGCGGAGTGCGGGGCCTGAGCGCGGAGAGAGGGAACTCGTGTGGGCGGGGTGAGAGGGCCGCCGCCGCCGCTGTCGCCGCGGTCTCGGGAGCCACCTTCGCCGGCCGGATCCCTCAGGTGAGCGAGCCCTCGCAGGCCCACCTCGCCCCGCCCCGCTGCGGGCTGCGCACTCGGACCCGCCTCGAGCCCGCTCCGCCGGGGGCCCGCCCCCTTCGCTGACCACGTGACCTGAGTTCGGTAACCCTTGACCTCTGGCGCCGCACCCCTCCACCTCTGGGTCCGGGATGCGTGCAGCTGGGTGGGAGGATGCGCCGCACGGAGGCCGGTAGCGGCCAGTTCCCAGGCCGCCCCACCTGTCTGGCTAGTGGCTGCGGAGGCCGAGGGGAGGCCGAGGAGCGGGAGATGTTGGTGCCAGACCGGACTTTGTGGGTGTGAATGTGGGCGCGTCATAGGGACCCTCCCTCCGCGCCTTCCCGGGGCTGGACTTCATGCTCCCATTTTACAGATGGGGGAGCAGAAACTTAACAACCATCTGTTGGCGGGTCTGCAACGCCAGGTCTTCGCGCTGGAAACGCAGGCCTTGTTCCCCCCCACAGCCCGCCACTCCTGAGGATTAGGGGCAAGGGTTTGAGTCCCTGCTCCCTACCTGGTGCTCGCTGGATGGATGAGCTTGGAGAAGCCATGTGACATGTACCTCTCTGAGCTGACTTCCTGGGCTGTGAAATAGACACAGTACTTACCTAACACCCATCTTGTTGTTAACGAGGTGGAGGTATAAGCCTAGAAGCACTTAGCTCAGTGCCTCAGGCCTAGCATGTGCTTAGAAAAACAGCCGCTCTTCATCTTTTTCAGCAAGTGTTTCTCGAGGGCGTATTATGTGCTGACACTGCTGGACGCTGGGGATGCAAAGGTGAGCAAACAGGCATGATCCTTGCCGGCATGGAGCCTACAGTCTAGTGCAGCGGTTCTCAACCTGTGGGTCGCGACCCCTTTGGGGGTCGAACGACCCTTTCGCAGGGGTCGCCTAAGACCATCGGAAAACACATATAATTACATATTGTTTTTTTAAAAATACATTTTATTGATTTTAGAGAGGAAAGGAGAGGGAGAAAGAGATAGAAACATCAATGATAAGAGAGAATCATTGAGTGACTGCCTTCTGCACGCCCCCTCCTGGGGATCAAGCCCGCAACCCAGGCATGTGCCCTTGGCCGGAATGGAACCTGGGACCCTTCAGTCCGCAGGCTGACGCTCTGTCCATTGAGCCAAACCAGCTAGGGCTACATATTGTTTTTGTGGTTAATCACTATGCTTTAATTATGTTCAATTTGTAACAATGAAAATACATCCTGCATATCAGATATTTACATTACGATTCATAACAGTAGCAAAATGACAGTTATGAAGTAGCAACGAAAATAATGTTATGGTTGGGGGTCACCACAACATGAGGAACTGTATTAAAGGGTCGCGGCATGAGGAAGGTTGAGAACCACTGGGCTAGGGCATGGTCCCTGGCTTTCTATACATCATCTCATTCTGTTCTCATAGCAGCCCGGTGAGTTGGGGAGGGTGGGGATTATTACCTTGATTTACAATTTAGAACACCAGTTGCTCAGGCTGATGAAGGTCTCGATCACATTCACACAGGAAGTGGTAGGGCTGGGCCGGGCGCCAGTCCCCTGGATCCCAAGGCCAGGCACGTTCTCAGTGTTCTCAGGCGGCACTGCCGTCTGCCCCGCTCAAGTCTGTTGCTCTGGGACTCAGAGTTCCTCCCCTGGACGCTGGCTCAGAGCCTCTGTGGCTCCTTGGGTGGGGAATCTGGAGCCGGAGCTGCAAGACCCAGTGGAGGGGCCTGGAGGCAGGCTCCCGGGCGCTCAGGGGGATGGGGGGGCTTTGCCAACCTCCCCTCCCCTCTCCTAGCTCCACCGGGGCCATGTCAGAGCGGGAAGAGCGGCGGTTTGTGGAGATCCCTCGGGAGTCGGGTGCGCCTCATGGCAGAGAGCATGGGCCTGGAGCTGAGCGACGAGATGGCGGCCCTGCTCGCAGAGGATGTGTGCTACCGGCTCAGAGAGGCCATCCAGGTGCGCACCC